ACTGATGTGTTGTTTCCATGCCTCTTAATAAAGTTCCATTCATGATAAAATTATCAGTGTTCATTATTATTCATTGAAACCAGGTTCTGTTGATTTTAGCACACCATTTCAAAGTCATTCCTCATGTTCATAATCCATGCCCGTTTATCCTCAAAGTGATCAGAGAAAGGTTAAAATCAGTGTTCCAGTGCGGACAATTTTGATTGTGATCGTGAGATTTCCTCTTAGACGCTGTTTAGCATGCGAATCAAGACGCAAATTAACCCTGCTTGTAGTTTACCAAAATTGGATTGATAATCACGGACGGCAAGAGCTAACGGATTGAATTTTTGGATCGCTTGTTAATTAATACAAGTGTAGCGTGATTGAGTTTAGTGGGGGCCATTGAAATTGTGGTCCGAAATTACAGAACAGCTCATTTTGTATATTTAAACGTCAGAGAAAAAGTGTTGTTTTTTAACCAAGCTCTCAAAGTATAGTGTCATTAAGCCATCAGTTTGCTCAACAGACATATATTTCTCCCTTCAATTACACGGTCTAGATATTGAGTAAACGAGCGCTTAAGAGAGGATCAGTTCGCGTTATCAGGGAGTCCGTATGCTCCTTGAAAACTACTTTGTTCTGGCAGAACCAACCGGATAGGCGAACTCAGATGATTGACCGGAACCGCCAACCAATCAATATGGTTGACAAAAATCCGGTCAACCAATGTTTTGGTATAGGCATTCCCCTGTCCTCTCTCTTTCTGATAACTAAGCATGATCTTCGCATAATAAATGAATTTTTACACGTTTCCAGTTCTGTTTTATTTCATTACTAGTGAAGTTCCTGTCTGGACAAGAAACTTTAACGATCTTTTAAGAATGCAGTATTGAGCAGATTGCAAATATTTTGGTCGATTTTCAGCCTAGTGAACAGTACAGTTGATCGAGCAACATAATTTTCTCGACGCATGCTAGGAGAATTTAGTTGGACGTTCTCGTTTTGTTAGCAATGATTGCTTATACACCTTGTTTCACAAAATCTCACCGCGACTAGTCATTTTAACATTACTTGATTGGAAACCCAAGTAAATCAAGGTACCGATTCGTTGCAAAGTGGACCAGAATCATCCTACGGAATGCAATAAGGACAATAAAACAATTCCGATAATCAGTCGAGTGCTCAGTCCAGTAACAAAGAAGTTATTTAAACCGCTGAATATCGGGGAATAGAACCGAAGCTCCGGGGATTAGGATATTGCAACTGTGCCAGTGGTAATCCTTGTGAACTTCTTGTGAATCAATAAAGCTTGGACGGGTCCTCCGGCCAGAATAACATTATCTTGAACTTTTCACGGCACATTCTACTGGCAAGGAGTGTACCCAGAAGCGTGTAACGAGGCCCATGCGTAAAGCCCAGTTTTGCTCAGTAACGGAGGACATCATCTGAACTGCTTACTAACGAGCAGGCAGTCGGTGAAAATGATCTTCACTGCGCACTGTGCAACGTTTAGGCAGCCAGATACCGTAATGGAAGATTAGGGCAAACATTCTGTTAAAATGTCTCCCTGAACACTATCCTCAAATCTAGTGGGTATCTGCAGTTGGAAATTCCGAAAGATCAATCTTTATTTGGTCTGAAGAAACCTTAATCGCAAGGAAAGTCATGAGATTTTACTTGAACTTTACAGAAAGCAACCGATTAATGACTTGTATTCTTCCAGAGATCTAAAAAAATTGAAATACCTGAACACTACTTCCTAGCTTCTCAGTTCTCATATGTCTCACTCTATCTGTACACGATGAATTCAATCGTTTAGTTGGTAGCCTATAGGAAAAATCAACAAGCGGTTTATGATATGTAATGTGCAACAGACGGACACAACGTCATTTCTTATTAAGCCTGGGATACTGGAGGATATTAGAGAGAAATGACAGTGCAAAATTTTATCGTCTGAACTGCATCAAATTTCCTCAGCTCACTAACCTGCAATGGTCAACACTGCATTTGTAAGTTGCTTCTAGCACGATCCACGGAGAGAAGACCACTTTGTAAATGGATACCCAGGCGTTACACAACGTTAGCTATGGAAAACGATTTAGTAGAGATATGTAGATGTTTATCTGATGTATTCAGATCAATTCATCGGTGGGGTAAATTCGAATGATAGCGACAAAATATATGAATCCAGTAATGCCGCTATTAATCCTAAATAGCTTGCTTCTCGTCTCAGAAGGCTCCCACCGAGGGTGATGTGGATACAAATTTTGAATGGTAGTCAGTAGGTTAATCCAACAAAAGCATAAAGGATTCCGAATAGGTTCCAAAGTATGCAAAGAAGACAAAGTTCTCATGGCGTACTAAATATTTTAGAAACAACTTTGCGAGAATAGTCGCTCCACAGGACATTGAACACGTCTCACCAGCCTCTAAAATATATAGTTTTGCTCTAAAAAGTAATCTCTTGATTAAACTAAACT